TCAAATAGATTTCATAACTTCATACATAAAAAATGAATGTTTAAAGAAAGAACTATCAGAAGAAACGAATGGTCAATAAAAGAACGTTGGCACTCGATTTAAACATCTGATCCATCTGCTTTTTTTAACTGTGTAAATAATGTGGTGGACTCACTGACTTTCGACTTATCTTAACTACATAAATATATGTGAGTGGAATTAGTGATGAATTGATCTCGATTAACTTAGCGTTGAAAACTAGGAATAAACGAGTGGTTATTTCGTCCTGGTATTGATATCCTCGACAGTAAGCATCAGCAACTCTACTGAAGAATGAACCCAAGGTATTCAGATCTTCTGAAGAACACTTGATATGTAGAACCGTTGAATCAACGTTCAATGGTACAACTACTTTGATGATCATCATGCTACATCACAAATTGATTGAGTTTGAAAGTGTACTCTAACAAACTACTTATTATGCAATAGATAGTCTACTTTTATTGAGCTGTTTTGTTTATTCTTTAAATTTTTGTAAACATTATATTTCATTCATTAAATCAGCCTTGTTTTTCTACAACTTATCTGTCTCTTGATTGTTGCTATAGCAACCTTCTAGAATTTTCAGCGGTACAGTACACTCATTTTAAGTAAAATGTGTGAACAAAACTAATCAACCGTTTATAATATCTCTTTTGTTTAATAAAAATAATCAACTCTTCATAATTTGTGTAATACTACTGTATTACGTCATGAAGTCCTTTGTAATATATCAGGGTGATCAATAATAGGAACATATATTTCTCTGATAAAAATACAATTACATATTGAGTTCAACGGTAATCAATATTGATTACAGTAGATGTCCCATTGAAATAAAAAACTAACCTATACTATTTCAAGCAACATAGTAAAATGATATAACAAACTAGTTCTCTTCATTAAGATCATTTTTAGCTTACTACTTATTCAATTTGGTGTTTTCCTGATCATTTATGTTCGATTCAATTGCGCCAAAGCTACATCATTCTTTCTGCGAGGCTTGAATCCTTATAGTCGATCTAAAGTACATTCATGATAGAATATTGCATATGAGAACTAAGTTAAGGAAAAAACAGCTAATGAGTGTTCATTTGTCTTCAATAGTTCAATAAATGAGGTCAACCAATGACAATTATTTTGTTCAGGTTATTGACTTTTATTCTTTTCATTATAGTTTCTAAAAAATACCTCTTAAATATCTTTATAAAGGTGATATTTTACTTGGAGGACTATTACAACCATCATCAAGAAGGTCCAAGTATTTATAAATAGTTGTCTACGCAAGATACTTAACATCCATTAGTCGGATACAATCAGCAACAGCCTATTAAGGGAGAGAGCAAACCATCTTCCAGCTGGAGAGGAAATTAGGAAAAGACGATGAAAATGGATAGGACATACATTACGGAAATCACCAAACTATATCACGATGCAAGCCCTAACTTAGAATTCTGCAGGGAAGCAGAAAAGAGGAAGGTCAAAGAACATATTACATTGGGAAATAGAATCAGATATGAAAAAAATGAATAACAAATGGTAAGAGCTGTAAAGGACTGCTCAGGACAGGGTTTGATGAGGAATGCTGATGAGCGGCCTATGCTCCTTCACGAGGTGTAACAGGCGTAACTAAGTAAGTAAGTAAGTAAGATACTATCAATGATAAGTTCATTAGTTCTCTACATCAGATACAGTATAAGTTAATTAGGAGGCTGAATATTTTTGTCATTGAGAGAAATAGATAGACATTTTTTTAGAAAAAACAATCTTGATTTGTAGTATGATTCAAACTAATGGCCTTATTTTTCAATAATCTCTTCATTTCAACTTTACCATGTATCGTATATCGGAAATGTAAACATTTTACATTGGAAAGTTTATCATATCACTATATATATATATATATATATATATTGCCTAAATCTATCTATTTATTAAGTAATGAGATAATTATAAGTAACGCCCATCCTATCAACTTATTAGTATTTCATTTATATTACTAACGATATCCTTAAGAAACAAATACTCAAAATCTCGTTACTATATTAAATGATTGTGTAAATTAAACTTACTCTCTCTCTTTCTCGATGTTATATCTTAATGACTCATTTTAATGCATTAATCTGGTAAAATATCCTCTTTGTTTAATAAAAAAAGGAATACAGGATAATAACATCCTTCCAAAAACAAATATATAATGGTTGGGATTATTACAAGCAAGTAGATATTAGGAATCAGTAGCTAAGGGGATTTATATGATGATGTTTGGAGCGGACAGCAATGGGTTCGAGTCCTGGGGTGAACATCGACAGTGGGATGCATGTACATTGAGCTGATGAGCCCTAAAACAGGTTAAAACGCGCATCCTGGATTCCATTACTAGCCATATGCAATCTTTGCTTACAAAGTGGATTGGTTGAAGTTAGACATTAACACTGTTGGATACCGGCTCAGTGGTCTAGAGGTTGAGTGCTCGCGCGCGAAGCCATTAGGTCCTGGGTTTGAGCCCCGCGTGGTGCGGGATCGCGGATGCGCACTGCTGAGGAGTCCCATACTAGGACGAAACGGCCGTTCAGTGTTTTCAGGTTTTCCATGATGGTCTAGCTTCAAATGACTCATGATTTCAACCAGTGAACCTTATAAAAATCTCCCCCAAAACCCATTCTGATTATAATTGGTTTGTTGAAATACATTCATTATCTAAACTAAAATGTATTCAAAATGAATATTCAGTTAAACTTATAACCACACTATTATAGTTTAGTCTTTAAGAAATAGTCTGTTTTAAGAAAAAAAAAGCAAACTTGGCCTTAATACCGTATTGACTAAGTGTACAAATGAAAATAGAGTCAGTTTACTGAACAACCAAAACTGAAATACTAAACTGTGTGTATGTGAAGACTGATTTTACAATCTACCAGAAAATATAACAAAATGATAATTTCTCTTTTGTGATTAGATCAAGCCATTATCTGTATAGTTCAACCTTATGAAGTAATATAGAATGATTACGAATTCCATAGACACTTTCAATATTATTTTGTTCCCTAAGTTAGATAGTTTAATACTGAAATGTTTGTTGTCTTTGTGAACAATATCACAAATACCGAAACTCACATAGTTTCGAGAAATATGTATACTGAAAATATATTTAACTTAATTCCTGACATGACATAACTTATACCTGTTAGCTAAAATAAACTATGACTAACAATCGTACTGCGGTATATACTACTAAAGTCTGTCGATATAAGTAGTATGTGACTTCAGTCAGAAGTGTAACACATGGCAACAGAAGGTTGGGAAGATCGAATTCAAGAGAATAGGAACAGTGAGTACTTGTAATAGCAATGAAGGAACGATGAAGATTGAAACAAGCGATGGACGATTTACAAATGAAGTATTTCATGTTTTAGCAAACAAATACAATTAGTTGTCCCCACATGTGTTCTTGTTCATGACAATACTTCAGTTAATTTCAAATTGTTGAATGTTATGCCTTATTATAATTTATGTTTCATCAGATCATTTATTACTATTAAAATATGATTCGTTTTGAACTTAAATGATAGTTACTAATAGGAACTTTAGGTGAGATTATAATTTATGAACAACTTTGAGCGATAGCAGACTGATCGTTAGAGTGTCCAACTAACAACCAACACAAAATGAGGGTTATCAACCTGTGTGAGGAATTAGAATTATGATCCAGACACACAAACAAACTAACTAATTAACTAGCTAGTATCAAGTAGACACAGCAGCAATAAAAGCACTCTTCACTCTGCAAAATTAGCTGATCGCAAAATGAACAGACTGACTGTTATAAATCTGGTTCATTATCCAGTCGTCTTATTTTTGTTGGGAAATTTCTGTTTCATGATTCAAGCATTATTGTAAATTTGTGATGAACGAGAACATGGGTGGAGACAACCACATGTATTTGAGTAGACAATTCCAGAATCTCTTAGTAAAATATGAGATTTATACATTAAACTTCCGTCCTTCATTTCCACATCAATCATTCTCTGTTCTCGACCTGTTTCCTTCGATCTTCTTAATCTTCTACCATCAGACATTTCATTTTCCATTGATGTTGCATACTGCTTATATCTGTCGACATCAGTAGTACACACCATTAATTCTCTCGATTATTGAAATTAAGAAAATAAGACATTGAGTATTTATTTGGAATGTTTTGTTGCTTATGGTTGACTAATGGAATTTTCTGATTCTAACACACACACACAGAGAGATGGTTTATTTAAGCAATAACTTGTTCTTATTCTCTGAATAGTGTCAAGTAAGTTTTATAGAGTAATTAGTCCGTTTTGATTAATTTAGATAATACAATGATGATATGAAGGTTGTTGTTAGAAGATTTATGTTGCATACTTCGTAATTCTATTTAATGTCAAACGTTTGAGAAAATGTCATCACAATGAATTATTATCGTTAATAAGCAAAGTATATATTCAGTGTATACATACATTGTGTATAAATGTCATGCAATGCTTTGATATATTAGTTTATTGACAGTATTTACACTTGGTGACTTAAGAGAATTGATAGTTACAATGGTGTGCAGATTTATTAAGTTTTACAAAATGTGTTAGGTAATACATCAATCACTAATGATCTAGCTAGTCACACACACACACACGTGCATACACTCTAACCCTCTCAAATATATAAATACTTTGATATCCATGAGCTTTACTGTATTATCATTTGACAAACTGATATGTATTGTCACAGTTATGTTGGAACAACTCGGAGAAAATGTCTCAAAGTTAATATTGATTGAGATCTGTCTATCAGAGATTCTCAGATCTCTGCAATTAGGAAGATAGTAACTATTGGAGATTTAGAACATAGGAACTGCTGAAGTAATTTCACTGGATAAAATAAAAAGAACTTGGATTGGATTGTTGTAATGTTTTAAGGTTTAACTATATTGGCGAAAAAAATATGACACTTACCCTGATTACATACATCCAATGTTACACCATCACTGATTGATGGTGTAATAAACTGTTCTGTTAAATTTTCACTTAAATCAACTGATGAATGAACGTCTTTCAATGTTTGTAGTTGATCTCCATGTTCATATTCATTATTCATTAAATATCGGTTAAATATATGTACTGTAGCTACATGATCATCTATTTGATCTTTCGGTACATCTTCAAATGTTCTAAATCTACATTGAACAGAGTATTTTTCAGGTAGATTATCAATATTACTAGTATTATTCATATTATTGAAATAATTTAAAGGACTAGTATTTCTGTATAATTTCCAATTTTTCATTTTATTTATTAATATTTCTCGATGTATAAATGATTGATCAATTGATGGTGTCCAACTATCTATTGTTGTTGTATCATCAATTTTTAATGATTTATAATTATTATCATTATTATTTGATAGAGTTGATAATTGATCTAATGCATAAAAATTTGAAACAGATTTGATATTTTCATCATTCAATTCGATTGATCTTAATAAATCCCATTTAGTATTATCATTAATTATAGAATTCAAATGTTTAGTACAATATAGATCATCATGATCTAGATTATCATGTTGATTTAATGAAGAGAATTGTGAAGTATGATATAAATCTTTATTAATATAATGAAAATTGACCATATTTTCGATCAATATTACTGAACATTAAGAATGTCCATTCCATACTAACTTTTGTTTAAATATACAATCCGGCTACTTTTCTATCAGGATCAATCATTTATTGTATCATTCATATTCAATATATTGATGATTATAATCATTAATTACTTCATATTTTATTTAAGTAATATAATCTTTATCATTTAAACCAATAGATAATCACCTATTGACTTAGGGTATTCTCATTGATTTCTTATGATTGGTTAATGTTAAAATTACTCAAATAATATTATTAGACAAGAGTTATATACATATGCATATGGGATTACACAACTACAATAGGGAATAGTATTGTAAACTAATGTATTATGAGTATTCTTGTTTATATAATACAAAGCTTAAATCAAATGTTAATTTACTGTGAGTCTTTAGATACTTATTTTTTTTTTCTCTTGGAGATTAGGCGTTTACTTGTTTTTATTTTTAGTACAATTCACATAAGAGTATTAGTCAATTCTTATAAGTGAGTAAGTAAGTAAGTAAGTTTCTATGCATATATCTATGGGTTTTTGTATTTTAAAAAAAAGACACACCCGTAATATCCCATCAACAGTTTTATCATTTTACACTATAGTTTTATTTATCATCTACAAGTTAAAATAGACAATAGAAAACAAAAGATTCTGTTTATAATTTTATTTAGAGACTAACAAAAAGTAACCACAACTTAGAGTGAATAAAAGAAATAAACTTCTAAATTGAGGGTCAACAAAATGACCAGAAAACAAAAGAGTTTTGTTTTTCTTTTTGGTGAGACTATAATTTGTGGACCACCTTTGAGAGATGCTAGACTGACCTTAAGAGTGTCCGCCTACTTACTAGAAGGTTATAAACCTGTGTGAAGGATAAAGATGATGATTTACAATTGATGGTTAAGGTTAAGAATTACATTTAGAGTTTTCATCACGAAATGACATCAGCTATAATGCCAAAACTTTATTTAACCAAATAGATGAGTGGATTTCGCGCCAAAATCCGAGACCTGTTATCTTATACCTGATTAGTTTGTTATGATGTTTGAATGATCTAATGATTCCTTGGTACTTGTTGAATGTTTGATTTCAAATTCTAAATACAGTACATTCATTTGTGGTTATCTAGTACTTCTTGATCCGATTACGTTCAATTCAATTACTTCTAATTATCGTATTCGTCCATAAATTATAATCTCGTCGTGTTTTTTAAGGAATGAAAATTAAAAGAATGGATTCATCAGCAACTTGTTTCAACATTTAATCGCTGAAGCTATGATCGATGTAACTGATCCGATAAGTTAAGTATTCATTTGCAATGAATTCGGGGATCAAACTCAAAAAAGAAAAAATGTAAGCAATCAGGCAGCATTAAAGTAGTGAATTGTGATCATAGTACGTATGAATTTCGTGACATCTATCCTGTATATGAAGACACATGTATCCAGTGTTAGTATGTTCCAAATTTAGACAAAAAACAGTTGCCACTTTTTCCTGATTTTTAAGCAGTTATAAATTGTGTTGAAAGCTATTTTCCAAAGTTAAAAAAGGTGCTTAGTAACTTGATCATTCGAAATAGAGTACCAGTTAAAACATAGAGGTTAATCACTTGAAGATAACTATGAAATCAGTCCAAAAGTTGATCTAACAAACTCTTCATGAGAAAAATCACTGCTCAAAGCATTAAAAACGGCTAGACTATAATTTACGGACGAACGAATCAGATATAAGATAACAGGTCTTGAATGTTGGCTCAAAATTCATTCATCCAATTGGCTAAACAGTGTTTTGACGTAAGATGGTGGTTGGAGGTATTCAACAGGATACTATCAACCCGGATTTGGTGCTATCTGGCAGTCGTCAGCAAGGTGTACCCGTGATCTTGAGGGGACTGGTGTTCCCTGACGGATTCGATCCCGTGTCACCCAGCTTCACAATCAGAGACGTTACCACGTTACCAGGGTTTCTTGTTGACTACCTCCAGCCACCATCTTACCTCAAAGTCGAGTCATCTAGTGGCCACACTGCAATTTGGTCAATAGCATTTGATCTGCACTAAGAAGGATCTGACATGACACTGATCATCACCGATTGATCAATCGATTGTGAGTGTTTTGACGTTTTAGCTGTCAGTTCGTGATGAAAACTCTAAATCTAATTGCTAACTCTAACCATCAACTGTAAATCATAATCCATCGCACTGGTTTATAACCCTCATTTAGTCCTCATTGGTAGGTGGACACTCTCAAGGTCAATCTAGAGTCACTCAAAAGTCGTCCATAGATTAAAGTCTCACCCATAATATGATATGGATGCACGACTACGTGATGATTTCAGGGGATCCAAATGTTGCAAACGATGTAGAGAGTATCAACTAGACTTTGATTGGCCAGTGAAATGTTTTATTATCTTATCAGTCCATTATCATACCACTGACCTTAAATCCAATCACTAAATGAACAAATTGTTATAAATGATAGAACAAACGACTCATTAATTACCTACAACAATGTTAGGATACCCAATATCAAACATAAAAATTACAATATCGGCCTACTTGGACATCATATTCATAATCATGCCTGAAATGAGACGTGGTTAACTGAAGTATAAAGCTATTAATTTCGAGAAGACCACTTATGAGTCTTTTTATGGCTAAAAAAGAAAGAGCCTAAAGTTAACATTTTGATTATATGACAAGTTGTTCGTCATTAGACGTAGGCCGCTTGAGCTGACTGACCACTCCCGTCTTCAGGATGATCTGAAACCGTGTGCATATTTTAAAGCCTGCTATTAGCTGTGTTGCCAGATGTTTTAATAAGGCTACTCACTACGAGAGTGCAGACATCTGGACTATATCTCCCTGTTCACGACAGACCTTCGTCACATCAAAGGCAAGTCGAACTGTGTTGCCGATGCTCTATCACAAATCCAAACGAATGCAGTTACTCTGCCGGTGCTCGATCTTCCTGCTATGGCCGCCGCCCAAGCAAACGATCCCAGTTGTACAAAAGCACCACACTCTACGTCCCTTCAGTATCAGGAAGTACTCCTAGTCACGACTTCTGGCACCATCCTATGCGATACTTCTACCGGTCTTCCTCGACCCATCGTACCCTCTGCTTATCGCCGTTTCATATTCGATGCCCTGCATGGATTATCTCATCCAGGTATCGCAGCTACATTACGTCTCATCGCTGAGCGATACGTCTGGCCGTCCATGAATAAAGATTTTCGTATGTGGGCGAAGCAATGCTTACAATGTCCACGATCAAAAGTGCACTGGCACGTAGCCGCCCCCTTGGTACACTCGCTACGCCTGATGCTTGCTTCGGTCATGTTCACTTAGACATCGTAGAACCACTGCCACCATCGCATGGGTATGATCACATACTCACGTGCATCGACCGTTTCACCAGATGGCCCGAAGCTATACCCAGCACGTCTATCACGGCGGAGACAGTTGCTCACCGCTATATATGGTTGTCCATCGACGGTCACGACTGACCAAAGACAACAATTTGAGTCCGCATTATTCTCCTCACTTACTCGGCTGCTTGGTACGGAACGCATACGCACTACCGCCTGCCAACCAACTTCTAATGGTTTAGTTAAAAGGTTTCACCGCCAACTTAAAAGTGCTCTTCGAGCACACGAAAACGACAATTGGTACGAAACCTTACTGCTCGTCTTCTTAGGTATTCGAACGAGCTTGAAGGCAGATATCCAATGTTCCGCCGCTGAACTGATATAAGGCACGACATTGCGTCTGCCTGGGGAATTCTTCACACCATGGAGCAGACCTAATTTCGGTAAATCAGACTACGTCCAACGACTGTCTGCATTTATGCGAACGGTGTCTCCAGTGTCAACTCGAATACAACATCGACAGGTCGTTCTCCCTCGAGAGTTATCCACCTGTTCACATGTTTTCATACGAGTAGATTCGGTACGCAAACCTTTGCGACAAGCTTACGAAGGCTCTTTCCATGTGATCGCTCGTCACGAAAAGACCTTCAAGGTTGATCGCCATGGCCGCGTCAAAATCGTCAGCATCGATCGTCTCAAACCAGCACACGTAGATGACAGTGGCTTATTTGATAACTTGAGATTCAATGCTAGACCTATCAAACCCAGCGGGATCCTTAAATTTTCTACATATCCTACGCTAGATACACCTGAGACCTCATTCTCACGTCCCAGCCAACAGCACGCATCATCTGCACCATCTAGGGACGAGACGACAGTCTCACGTCCAGATCAGCAGATCACGCAGCCCTTGACTTCGGATGAGACTGAAGGCTCAGGCGATGCGAACGAGACCACCATCTCATGTTTCAGTTGCCGAGTACGGTTGCCCACGCCTCCGACCATCCCCGTTTGGTACCGTCTACTTCAGTCAACTTTGGCGAAAGCTGGACTGGTCACCCACGCTCTTGTCAACGCATTCAGTCTATATTTTGGTTTCCAATGTTTGGCATACGCTTGGTCTCGAACTTCGTCGTTATGGTCGCTTCTGGTTCATCGGCTCAACGTGGTTTCGTCCTACGTCTGCAGCGTTTCTCGTTCGCATCCCTTACGAACGCAATCTTCAGATTCTGGATACAAACCACTCTGGTGTGGCATGCTAACTCAAGCAACAAATACAGCATATCGCCCCTGGTACCGTTCTCCGAAAAGAACTTCGTTGGCAACTCGACGATCAACGATCGCTTTCCTGTTCCACCAATTCTTCTGTCCTACAATCGCTCGTCAGCTGATGTTAACTGAATGGAGATGTTTACCTTAGAGTTCAGAACACATTCGACAGTAGGCTTCTGATGACTGTGATGCGCCATGTGTTAGTAAAGCATCCTGATCCAAGCCAAGAGTCTTCTTCGTTAAACTTGACAATCAATTATGCGACAGCTGATATTGCTGCCTAGATATCTTCCCAAAGTTAGCTAATGGCGGTCACGCTGTTTTATCGTTCACATTCTAGGTTTGCAT